TGACATAAGTTCAGTGTTGCTTTGTCCTTGGTTTGAAATAAGGAGCAAGAAGAGAATGAGGAAAATATAGAAGGGAAATGTTCAATTGAATAATAAAATTAAGATTCTTTAAAAATCTGAAGGATTCAAGCATTTTACAGTTCAGGCCACAAATGTGCAATATTGCAGGAAAACAGATAATTATTTCTGTGTGTGAGAGAGAAATGGCTGCTAATTCTGTTCAGTGCCTCTTCCCCACGCATTCGGGTTGTATCCTATGGAGCAGCATTCTTGAGATCTTCCCTTGCAGGTTACAGGTGGAGTATCATGTCTGAACAGTCTTTTACAACAGAATTTCCCCTGGTCATGAAAGATGAGTGAGACAATTAGGCCTTCATTTGAACATCCATTATAGTAGCTCTTGGGAACTTTGCCCTATTTGAGGCTGTGCATTTGTGGATCAGCTGTATAGAGCAGGGGTCTCAAACTCAATTTACCTGGGGGCCGCTGGAAGCAGAGCCTGGGTGAGGCTGGGCTGCATCAGATTTTCTGCCAAGCAGAGCAACAACCCAAGGAAGCCGCCCAGGAGTTTCCTTAGCCCGGCAGGGGCTCCGAGGAGGAGGAGGGGCGTGCGAGCCCTCGTCGCCGGCCATGACTCCTTCCGGCTCCTTGTTCACTACCACCACCAGCAGCAGGACAAAGAAGCAGAGAAGGGAGGGAGTGCCGGCGACTGCCTAGCGGGGGGGAGGGCACAACATAATTTTTTTATAAAAAAACCCTCACAGAATCACCTTGCCAAAGGAGCAAAGCCCCCATAGGTAACCGTGAAATTAAACAGAACGGGGTGGGCCCCCCACAGGTGCACGCACGCACGCATGCACGCACACACACACACACACATACGGAGGTCTGGCAACCTTCCTCTGAGATTCCCCCCTCAAAAAAAAGGCATACTCCGCAGCAAAAACGGTGCACCCCCCACCATGACAGAGGAGCAAACTTTGCGAGGAGGAGGAAGTACAGCTGGGTGCTGGCCGGGCTGGTGCTAGGGGTTCTGAGAGAGAAAGAGAGCCAGAGAGCCGCTTCTCTGGAAGTGGCGGCAGCAGCTGCTGTTGGCGGCTTGGAGGCGCTCTTTGAGGACTGGCCAGGAGTGAGCTCCGCTCTTGGGCATCACTCAGAGGCGGCTTAGGCGCTTGGGGAAAGGGCCAGCAGCGCACCTCACTTGCCGGCTCTCCCCCAAGATAGCGCCTCTTGCGCCCTCCATCCGGAACTGCAGCCAGCAGACAGGCAGGCTGGCTGGCAGGCTGCAGTTCTGGATGGAGGGTGCAAGAGGCACTGTCTTGGGAGGCAACCAGCAAGTGAGGTGAGGCTGGATGCGTGGGTGCTTCGGGGAGGACAGGCAAGGCGGGGGCCACAAACTATTGTCTGGCGGGCCGCAAATGGCCCCTGGGCCGCATGTTTGAGACCCCTGGTATAGAGTGTGACAATGCCCAGAAACTCTTTTGTTCCTTCATATCAACAAGACTGAGTAGGGAGCGATAATTGAAGGCGTGTGCATCCCCCTGAGGCCTGCTGTGGGCTGAATACTGTCAGGGGATGCTGCTGTGACCTGACATCATCTGGTTATCAATTCTCACTGATTCAGGACATGAGAATTCAATGAGATATCTCAACTTGAGGAGACCCTGAATGCCAGCAGTATTGCTCAAAGCTTTTCACATGGCAGCTTGGTCATATATTCTACTTTACTCCTCTCTCCAATGGAGGAGAAGCAAAGCAGGATACATGGAGGAAAGCACTTTCAGTTAAGAAATTAATTCTTCACTTGTCTCCTCCATGTATGTGTGGTTGAAGAACCACCTCATTATTTTCCTCCACCCATAAGAGAGCACGGTGTGGCACTCTCTATAGCAGAAGATAGGAAGGAGAACTATTTTTGTCCAAATTAAGCAACATTGTGCAAAAATTGTTTAACAAAAATAAGACTTTAAGGCAAATAAAGCAAATTGCATAAAATGAAAATCGCTGCTGTTTTGTTGCATGTCACTTTTAAAGATTAGAAGCATTGGAATGAGTCAATGTCTGTCGTTCATCAGTCGCTCAGGTGTTCTGTGTTTGCTTTATTATTATTATTTTATTATTTTATTTTATTTAAACCATTTATAGCATGCCCTATATGGAAAGAGCCATCTAGAGATTACAGAGCCATATAAGACAATTTAAAAACCCGAAGCCTTTAAAGCGATTTCAAATTGAAACAAGTTAAAATGCATAAAATTCATAGATTAAAACATGTATGTGCTTTGCTTCTCAAGGGAAAAGACACAAAGTTTGGGAGAAGCAATTGGCATGAATTACAGAGACCTTGATGCGAAAAAAAAATAGAGAGAAGTCTCTTCTTCCACTCTTGCCATTGGGCAGGAAATCTTGTAGGGGTTAAACATTTCTCATCTGGAGTCTTCTCAAAGTGGGATTTCTCATTAAATTGTGACAAACTGAATAAATGAAAATGGATAATTAATTCAATATTCTTTATATCCCGACTCTCAGCAGCCAGTGTTTTCAACAGCAGGCTGAAGTCCAACCTTATGATTCAGTAATCTGAGTTAGGAAGTGGTTTATGAAGGGAACAGAAACCTACAATGTGCACATTTTTGCCACTGCCTTAGTTGGATAAGAAATGTCCCTGAGTGTACATTTGGTCCTTTAAAAACCACTGAAAAAGTTCTCTTGGCTGGCTAGAGGTACCTGAGGTAAATAAGTTTCTGTCATAACTGCGTGTGTGAGATACTCCACAACATTTGTGAGGCTGAAGGTCATGCACTGTTCGCCACTGTGGGACTGGTGAGAAAGTTTTTTAACTTCCAACATTGGGCATGTCATATACTGAAGGTGACATTGCTCAAAAAAGCAGATGATGGCATAGCGTGGGATGCCTTGGTTAACTTTCATTGACCAATCACGGTTGATGTTACAGAGTAGTCATTTACTTGATAAACTTAAGTGGGATGGGGGAATGATTTCACAAAGTGCTGCCTGCTAGCAAAATGAGACAGTGGATCTTCTCTTCTAGGAGCATTAGAAAAGGGGCTGGAGGAATGGTGGATGTGAAGCTTTTCTAAAATTTTATTTTTAAATTTCCAAAACAAATATAAGAATACAAAATACTTACTATTACAAATCTAAACCACTGGTTCTTAACTTTTGTTACTCAAATGTTTTTGGACTGCAACTCCCAGAAGCCTTCACCATCAGCTCTGCTAGCTGAGGTTTCTGGGAGTTGCAGTTCAAAAACACCTGAGTAACAAAGGTTAAGAACCACTGATTTAAACCACAGTGCACCCCCATACCCACGGGACCCTTTGGAGCAATACTTTTAATACGAACCTCTTTTCCAAAATTGTATTGATTGTTGTTTAGAGGCTTTCCCCTTTCCTTTCACTAATACAAAATCAACAAATCTACCCCAAATAGCGTAACACATATTTGAACTTATTTCCCCTCTTTTCATCTTAAGTTCAGCAGTCAATTTATCATTTAACGCAATGTCCCAAACTTTATTATACCAATGTTCTAATTTGATATCATTTTTATCTTTCCAGAATCTAGCTATTAATATTCTAGCACTCGTCATAAAATTGGAAATCAATTCCTTTGAGCAATAATCAACTTCTCTCTTATCAAAAATTGACAACAAAACAATTTTAGAATTGAATTCAATATCTTTTCCAAATATATCACATATTTCCTTAAAAATTAGTTTCCAAAATTTCTGAATCTGTTTACACTCCCGCCATATATGATAATACATGCCAATTTCTTCATCACATTTCCAACAGGCCTTAGAGTAGTCTGAATTTATTATATTCAATTTCACTGGAGTCATGTACCACCTTAAAACTAGTTTTTTAATGTTCCTTTATTCTTACCGACATTAATCTTAAAACTCTCATCTTCCAATTTTTTTTCCAATCCTCTGTTTTAATTTCTGTCTTTAAATCATGACCCCAAATTAATTTCAAACCTTCTGTTTCTGTCTCTTTTTCCTCTTGTTCCAAAATTAGGTTATAAATTCTGCTTACTACTCCCTTCCTCAAAGCATCTTTCTGCTTAAAACTCCATACCATCCATGTTTCTGAGAGTAACACAGCAGCACTTAGTGGCTCATGGAGGTACCTCAAGGCATGGAGGCCGGCCAGCCAATAGACCTGTTCCAGTGGCTCTTTAAAGCAGTGGTCCCCAACCTTGGGCCTCCAGATGTTCTTGGACTTCAACTTCCAGAAATCTGGCCAGCAGAGGTGGTGGTGAAGGCTTCTGGGAGTTGTAGTCCAAGAACATCTGGAGGCCCAAGGTTGAGGACCACTGCTTTAAAGGACCAAAGCCACACTCAGTGACACTCCTTTCCAACTGAGGCAGTGGTCAAGATAGGTACATTGTGCCTTCTATTCCCCTTCAAATGGCTTCATAAACCCTTTCCTAATTCAAGTTCCTGAAAAAAGGACTTTTATGAATTGATGGTCATGTACAATAATATCCCCCTAAGTATTGTGAAGTGCCACTTTTTGAGATACTGTTCTTGTTTTTGGAAAGTTGGGAAGACCACTTGCACAGATAGGTCTTATGTGATTCTTTTTGCTACTCCTTCTCCTGTCTATATCAGAATATGGGAATAACTGCACCCATGGTCAAACTAAAATGCAGGACTGAGCCCCCATGCATTGCTTACTTTCATGTGCTTTCACAGCACACAAGTCTTCTGTGGTGAAATGACGGATCTTTACAGAGACTGAGTGCATTTGGGATAGAAAGAATGTGTTTGCAAGGAGATGAGCAAAATATTTGCAGACAATTGCTGGCCTGATACAAGCTATAGGCAACAAACTGATAGGTTTCTTGTGATTGTGATTGCAAAACCTGTCCCTGAAATCCTCTCCTTGCTGTGGTTGGATTGCAGGGAAGGCCTATGTGCTCACCCCAAAACAAGCCATTAGGATGAATTGCAGAAAGCCTGCTGGCATAGGATTCTTCATCGTCATTCCTATTCTCTACATTAAGGATCCCACAGCTTCCCCTTTTCCCCCTTTCGGTACCTAGAAATGGAAAATAAAGACATAAATCGGATCAAGCTACAGAAGCAACGACCACTCCATCCCTCAGCTTGCACCATATCTCTATTTTCTTTTTTTCTTCACTGCCAAAGTAAAGGAGATTACAATCTCCCACACTCAGGATGAAAAAGAACAGCATGTGTGGCAGGCAAACAGTCCATACTTCTTTTTAAAAAAACATTATGTTTCTGAGGGCAACACAGGAATACTGCCTCTTGTCTTCCTGATTTGCTGTTTTCCCCTCCACTTCATGAATATAATCCCTGATAGCAGGACAGTAGCCTTTTAGTAGGCACTGAAGTTTCATTGGTGTTGTTGCTGAAATCTGTGCTGCAGTACACTTTACCATTGCAGGAAGTATGCTCCTATGATGCATTTAGGGAATACCAAAGTTGCTTCACAAACTAGTCCTTCCGCCACCAAGCTAATCGGTTTCCCCAAACATTCCTCTCCCAGGGCAGAAGAGGCCGTTCACCTCAGGACTTTGTAAACAAAACCTTGGAAGGCTTCCACTGCAGAAAAATGTTAGCCATTATCAGGGACTTACATTTTCCGTTTTCCGAACTCTCACCCTCTACCAGTTGTCTAATCTGTTCATGTAATCCATGCGCTAACGCTAATAATGGTTGTTTTAAGACATTGATGTGAATGGTGCAGTAGTGTTCCTAATCATTGTAACTCACAACTGTAAGGGGAAATGGCTGGTTTGTGGGAAGTTGAATACCCACTAGGAATTGGGATCAGGATTTGGCGCATTACTACATGTGATTTTAGAGTGTGTGCATTGGATCAGATTGGCATCCTAAGAAACATATTGTTGTGCATCTCCTGCAGGACAAGTAACATGCCCCACAAATCAGATTATTCAACTTTGCTTTGTCTGCAGTGGACTCCTTTCAATGATGAGCCACCTGGCTAGAGGGTAGGATGACTTACCTTCGTTGTGGTGATGGTGGTGGTCAACAAAGATTCCTACCAGGGTGCCAAGGCCAGGCCTGGGAAGAAAAGCCAAGTCTCTGATTTGTTTTCAGAATGTTGAATTTTACAATAAAATAAAATTAAAAGTTTTTATGGATCATTTTGCAGCCTTGCCTTCTGTTTTGTACATTATTCTTAGCATCTGTTATCTTGTTATTTATATGGTGCTAATTGTTTATGAAAGGGATAATGAAATTTTATTGCATGGTAGAAACGTGTACAGTTTTACTAGTGAGATGTTTCTTATCTTTTTTTTTAATAAGCAAGGAAATAAACAAACTGATGCATTTCCAGGAGAATTAGCTTGCTGCTTATTATGTGATAGCTGGGAGGAGCAGGCCATTTACATGGCACAAGTGCTGTCAATGAACCACAAGGGAAGGATGCTCAATCTACTTGCTTTTAGGGGGTGTACTTACAGTTGGACAAATGCAAGGTGTTGTGTGGGGTCCCTACAAGTATGTCAGCCATTGTATTTCATCTGGGTAACAATTCTCCCAAGAAGTCTCATCTTTTGCTAGCTCAAGAGGACACAAGCTGATCTTCCTGAATGGCATTAGGGTGTGTTCCCCTACCAGTACCATTATATGGGAACAGGGACACCAATATATTGATTTAGCTGTCAATGGTTCTAGTGAAGTCTCCCTGTCTTCCATCACAGGGGCCATTCCTCCAGATCTTATGACTCTTGCAGGGAAGCCGCGCCACCTTAGTTTCCTCGTTCAGTTCTTCAAGTAGCTGTCCCTCCTTCCTTCTGCAGTGGTCCATTGCCTGTTGTGCAATGTTCTTGACAGCATTCCTATACTTTCTTGTTCTCGTCAGGGCTAAATGTTTGGTAGCAGGGAGTGTTGCAGCCTCATTAGCAATGACTAGCGGAGGGAACAGAGAAGCAAAGGCAGAAAAATAGTCAATATGTGATTAAATTTCCAATGAATCAAAGTAGACATGTTGCGGCTAGCTGGGAAATGTTGCCTTATTCCACCGGTTATTCTGTACTAAAGTGAAGACGAAAGTTGATAAGTGCTACCACATGACTATTCGAATCAGCAAGCATCAAGAAATGTATAGTACAGACATTTTACGGAATGCTTCAACATGGAACCCTTGTGTTGGCATTAATTACACTAACAGGAGGACTGATGGATAACCTGGCAGTATTTCCAGGAGCTTTTGTGGCTTGGAGTTTTGCAGCAGCTACACTTTAGCCCATTCAACAACAACAACAACAACAACAACAACAACAACAACAACAACAACAACTTTTTTAAAAATCTACCTGCTCTGACTAAAGCAGTCATCTTTTCCAAAAAAACACTATGCCTCAATCAAAATTGTTTTTTTTCCCTCATGTCTTGTAATACAAGCTTGTTTTGTTGTTATTATCATAGAATCACAGAATACAGTGGGGTCTTGACTTAAGAACGGCTTGAGTTAAGAACATTTTGACTTAAGAACCGCTCTCATAGGAAAATATTGACTTGACTTACATACTTAGATTTGAGTTAAGAACTGAAAAAAACCACGTGGGAGGCAGGGAAAGTGCAAAATTGGAACTTTCAGTTAACTGTTGGCCAGTGAAAAGGGTGCCTGTCTGCTTCCTCACTCCTCCCAGCGTTTAGAGAGTGGATTGGGAGACAGTCTTCGGACTGCCTGGTACTGTACTGCCTGGACTGTATTTTCCCTGCCTTCCCTGAACCTTTCTTGACCTAAAAAAAGAGAAACAAAATATCCCCCTCTGGTGGTCGAAGGCGGAATAGCAGCTTCCCATTCGTTTCTATGGACGGAAAAGAGCAGATACGGATCAAATGGTTTTCAATGCATTCCTATGGGAAATGCAGATTTGACCTGAGAACTTTTTGACTTGAGAACCGCCTTCCAATACGGATTAAGTTCTCAAGTCAAGACCCCACTGTAATGGAGTTGGAAGGGGGTCTATAAGCCCATTGAGTTCAACCCCATGCTAAATGCAGGAATTTAAGTCAAAGCAGATCTGACAGAAGGTGGTCCAATTTTCTCTTGAATGCTTCCAGCATTGGAGCACTCACTATATCCTGAGGGAACTGGTTCCATTGCCATACTGCTCTAACAGTTAAGAGGTTTTTCCTGAATCTGGCTTCCTGTAGCTTGACTCCATTATTACGTGTCCTGCACTCTGAGATTATTGAGAACAGGTCCTGCCCCTCCTCTGTATGACAGCCTTTCAAGTATTTGAAAAGTGCTATCATATCTTTTCCCAGTCTTCTTTTCTCAAGGCTAAACATGCCAATTTCTTTCAGTTTTTCCTCCCAGGGTTGGTTTCCAATCTCTGATAATCTTTGCTGCCCTCCTCTGAACATGCTCCAGTTTGTTGGCATCATTCTTAAAGTGTCGTATCCATAACCAGACACAGTACTCTAGATGAGGCCTAATCAGTGTTGAATAGAGGGGGGCTAGTACTTCATAGGATCTGGGAACCATACCTCTGTTAATGCAGTCTAAATAGCATCTGCCTTTTTTACAGCTACATCACACTGTTGGCTCATATTCAGCTTGTGATCTACAACAATTTCATGTTCCTTCTCATTCATGATATTATTTAGCAAAGTTTCCCTTTCTAGTAACTGTGCATTTCTTCTGAGAAATAGTAGGATGGAAGAGAAGACTATCTGGGCCCCAAAGTCCTTGAGTTTCCTTCCCAGAGCGTTACAGTCTGATGTGATTTCTTTGTAGTGCCTCTTGGCTGTGCCATTGGTTGCCACATGGATCAGAAGAAAGGAATATGCATCTGTGGGTTTTTATGAGGGATGACAGTCCTTCTGTCATATCCCAAATACGTATGTCCTCCAGAGTCAGCACAGCCGGTGATCCCATGGATCTTCCCGACATATTTTGATTTCAATCACATGAAAAAGAGAGTCTCCTGTTACAACTATTTTTCTCTTCTTTTTGTAAAATAACTTTGCTTGGCTGAGCTTCTGCAGGGTTTTCTGTATGTCTTCCACTGCATGCTGTCTGCCAGACTCCTGTTCAAGAATCTGAAAGTGGTTTTGCCACTGAATAGTGGTGAATAGTGTCTTCTCCTTCTTTGGCTCCTGCAACTCTTTTCCATAGTGCTTCCCCCACTAAATTTTTCTTACCTCAGCCTTTCACTCCTTTGCTTTTCATGTTCTTCCCCCTTCAGTACCTCCCTTGGCTGCTACTGCTCAAAAGTTTGGTCTATGTACTCTTCATCTTCTTTTATAACCATGTTCTTGTTCTTGCTGCTGCTGCTGCTGTTGTTATGAGCCATCAAGCCATGGGCAAGAGAGTATATGTTTGGTTCTGTGAGCATCATGCCACTAATATTGTAAATATGAATGTGAAAATATGCAAATCAGCCCTGTCTCTGTTTTAAAGAGGAATGTTTAAGGAGGCCAAGTGCCAAGAAAGGATAATAGGAAGGATCATGGTAAACAATAATGACAAAAACAGGGAGGCTAGAAAGTACTGGGATTTCTTGGAAGATATGTTGTGATTGCAAAAGCAGGTAAAAGGCATTCCTACGAAGGAGAAAAAATCTTCTCCAAAACAGATTGTCCACTCACACCAGTCCACTCAGCAAAGTAAACCCACAATGTTGCAAATAATCAAGTGGAAATGCATAACTCAGATATAAGTGTGATTTGACAAGCGCATGATGGGTTGGTATCAATATTGTGTGAAGCGTACAAAGTGGAGCAGAATCAGGACCGGATTGCATCACTAGTACAGACTGGGCCATCAACCCAGCAGATGCAGGGCTCTAGGAGCTGTTGGACAAGAGGATGCTGTTGTCCCAGGGCTAGAGTGAGGCTCAGGGGATGGCTGAGATGCTGGCCTGGAATCAAGGGAAGATCTGGTCTGACAGAGCTTCCATCATTTGGGGCTCAGGGATCTGTTGGTCTAAGAGTACCTGGTTTCTTCTTCCATAGACACCAGTCCATGTGAAGAAGATTACTGCTGGATGTGTGGGTCATAACAGGCTCGGAGGAATGACTTCTTCCGCCCTGCTTCAACTCTTGCTTTCCATTTCATTTTGCTGGGTTCTGATCAGCTTTGCTAACATTTATTCACCCCCAACTGTAGGTACCTCCAGAGCAACCATTTTCATAGCAAAGAAGGCAGAGATGCCTAAGAGCATCAGTCCAAGGGGAACAAAAAGGAAGAACAACTATATTTTCTTTTAAAAAGCTGCTGCTGTGCTGGTTTGATACAACAGGCGTTTGTTGAAAGCAGAACTCGCCCTGCAATCTAAGCATCCACGGACCACCGCCGGATTCACTAGGGCTATCTTTCTTGCATGAAAAGCCTGGATCCCCCAAGAGAAACTTGTGAATGTTAGAGCCTAGCACTTAACAGCAACATGGCTTGTTTTGGTTCTTTTCCTCCCCCTCATTCTCATTAGCAAGATGTGTTTTGCTGCAAGAGGCCAACGGTCCAAACAGTGATGCTCTCAGTTGCCATGTTCGGAGATAAGATGCCTTTTGTTCGCTGCTGTGGGAGCAGTGAGAATACAGAACGGGTTTGCTATTTATGATGCAAAATAGCAATGTTCCACTCAGCTTTCGAAAGCCTTGTTGATTATTTATTTAGAACCACTTGTCTCACAGGCGCAGCCTGGGTGTATGCATGCGTGTGCATGCGTGCGTGAGGCAGCTGTCTAATATATTTTCCATAAACAGCCTTGTAACTTAATTATATTAGTCCTTTGACTGCTTCTATTAATGCTTTCAGAAAGCTATAATGAGGATTTTTTTTTTAAAAAAGTTTCCACTGGAAAATGAGTGCTTCTATTAAAATCATTTTAGCTTGAAGGTTTATAGCAACCTTGAACCTCAGGGTTACCACCAGATGAAAAGAATGGGGATTACAAACTTCTAATGGAAGAGGGGAATTTCACCAGGTGCTGCTTTTTTCTTCTGCTGCTGAACAAGCTGCACCTAACAAAACCTCCTTTTTCTATTGGCTAATAACAAGCATCGTGTTCTTCTATATTGTAGATGGATGGAATCCATTATTT